AACACCTTAACAAATGCCCTGGCAACCACCCACACGTAAGCATTGTGGAGGGGATTTTGCACAATGGGGTTTGCCTTTTAAAAGTGTGCCATTTCTACTTGTTTTTCAGAGAAGAAAACAGTGTCACTAACAAAGTGGATGGTGAGCAAAGGTGGTGGCCACGTTTTGGAGCAGCACCTTGGTTTCGCAGACGGCAATGTATTCTTTGGCTGCTTATTTTTTTTCCCCATTATGTTTCTGTTGCCTAAAGATTCTTTGTTAGGATAAATCCAGATGATACAACATAATGCACTGCACAATTTCCTAAGACAGGAGAAATGAAGATGCACTGTTCCAGCATTGGAAGACTATTTATAAGTGTTATAAGTGCAATACTTTAAATAAAGAATTTTATATTTTGTAATTATTGTGTCTGTTTGAATTGAATGCCAGTAGTGCCTATGTAGGGTAAAAATAAAATGAATTCTATATAAAAAAAATTATAAAATCTAATGAAACATATTCAAATGAATTAATTACAGTAGCATACTGATGAATTGGATTTTTACAGTAATTTATTGTAAAAAGTACAGTTTGCAACTATAAACCAAATACAGTTTGCTACTGTAAATCTTAATTACAGTAACTTACTGGCAACTGTGTTGCCAGTAAGTTACTGTAAAAACCCTTTGAAATTATTATCCTATTCCTACAATAGGAAATATCTCAATATAGTGCCTTGCTTACAGTATCGCAATGCATTGCAACATATCGTATCGCCCCCCCGTAATACGTATCATATCGCCAGATTCTTGCCAATACACAGCCCTATTTGAAGCTGCACTGAAACTGCAATTTGGACCTTCAAATCATTGGTTCCTGTTGACGTCCACTACATGGAGAAAAATCCTGGAATGTTTCCTCAAAAACCTTAATTTCTTTTCGACTGAAGAAAAAAAAAAAAAAAGACATGAACATCTTGGATATCATGGGGGTGAGTAAATTATCAAGAAATTTTGATTCTGGAAGTGAACTAATACTTTAATTTGCAGAAACTGTGACAGAAATATATAACTTAATGTAATGATAGTACTACTAAAACATTATTCTTTAAAGATTATTTACCCCAAAAAAATATTTACCAGAATTTATTTACCACAAAAAAGTAAACACAAAACGCAGTTTTTCTGAAAAAAAAGAGCTAAAAAATAATTATATATTTTATCAAATTAATTAATTAGAGATGCTTTTGATCATTAAAATTTAACAAAAGCATTAAAATGGAATCCAGAAAATTAATGGAAAACACAGAATTTGTACAAATAAAACTGATTTAAGTTTAAAAAAAAATCATTCATATAGCCTTAATTTTTTTTTTTAACTTATAATAAATTGTTGTTAAATTTTTCATGATTTCAAGTATTTGTCGAATGATTTTTGATTTATATTTTCAATGTACCATTAAAACAAGAGTCTAGAAAAATTATAATGGAAAAAATTGAATATTTAA